GTAATCGCCGCTCATTGTCGTTCATCTGTTTTATTATGGAGACTCGTTTCTTATAAGTGACAAAGCCGCATGCACCTTGATGTTTCCGTCTCAGCGATTTCTATCGACTTTCTTTTCCTCGACTGAGGTCGATGTTTTCTCTCTCAGTTACTGATCGAATGCCTTCCACATTCCACTCGGCACTTTCAGCTGAGTGTGACGAGGAAAGTGGATATTAATATCCTGATATCTCTCGGAGCCTGTCAAACACTGACAGGCCTTTTTTAATTCAGTTAATGTTATTATTGTGATACGTTCCGTTTAATTGTCTTTCGTGGTTTCGGATATAAAACAGCTCGTAATGCGTAATGAACATTGGCATTCTATTCCGTTGTTCACATGGGCAGAACTTATTCCTATTCGAGATGTCCAGATTTCAAATCTCCGCCAGCAGATCGGACATCTTGACTAAGATTTTACGTATTTGCGTTTCTTTCTCCAATAAAATGTACGGATAGGCCAGAAATTAAAGCCACGATCGCTTACTTTCATATTCTTTGTAATTTATTATTAACTAATCATCTTTTCGTTTGCCGCTGTATGAGCTTAACTACTCAGACAGTCGTTAATTAAACCATAAATAAATAAGAAACCCGGATTTAATCATGTATTCGAAATGAAGGAGGCTTAGGGATTGCATTTTCAGCGTTTGGTTAAAAATCATAGTGAAAACATGTAGATGGAAGATAGAAATTGTGTATGTAGTCTAATTTACCGAGTTATTCGCTATTTTGTTTGATATTTATCTAAATATACACTTCTAAGACTTATGTAATTGCATGAACATACAGATGTGGCCCCAGGTCTGGAAAATGTTAAGAACCCCTGTAACATATCACTTTTTTCAGTTACAAGTCTTTTTTTCCCTTACGACGAATTATTTCTGAACAAAGTAATAAATTTATATTCCAGCTTCAATACGGACCTGAGTCAGTCTTTTCATGCAGACTCCGAATACCAAATTTGGTCGAAATGTATTGAGTGTCTTGACAGATGGACAGATGGACGGCACTTTCATGATTCATTTGTGTGCTGAACGCGTGATTTGATTCCAGTTAATACGATTTTACAAAATCTGTGTTGTGTGAAGTGCACTCTTTCGAATGGCGTGGCTATAACTGCAGAGCGTCTTGCGAGTAGTAACACCCTGTAGCACTGCGCAAGGGCAGACGTAATTGAATCACTTACCGGCACATACCGGTTTCTGTCACCACTTACTCATTCTTGAGCTCTTGGAATGCTTCTCGTTACTGATGTGAATAATCAGTTCAAGAAACACTTATTATGTGTAGCTTCTTTCTCTTAACCTCCCATGTTGAAAGAGGAACACGGTGTGGTGGTATTTGAGAACAGGATGGTTTGTTGAATGTCTGGCCCCATGAGGGATGGAATTATAGGAGGTTGAAAAATTTTCTGAATCAGGACTTTTATAATATGTACTCTCCTCCAAATATAATTTGTATGATTACGCTAATAAGTAAAAGTAAAGTGAGAAATGTGCACAAAATTTTGATTGGAAAGCCTAAAGGGAAGAGGTCACTTTAAATATAGGCGTAGGTGAGAAGATAACATTAATATTAGGTTTAGAGGACATTTCTGAGGATAGTCCTTGGAAAGCTCCTGCTTTTAGAACCAAAACGTTCTTGGTTTGTAAAACTTGAGGACCTTACGAGGATGTGAGCTAGTTTCGACTGTCTTCAGAGGCGGGTTTATTTAAGCCTTATTTTACGGTACGTCACGATCTGTCGGATATGACTTCCGCTTCGTATTTGAGAGGTTCCGGTCTCCACTCTGAACCCGATTATTATGAGGATTTTAGTGATCTGCGTTAGTGTCTCCGGGTGTTGTACGCTAGCGACGTAGGCGGACCAGTAGGCAAGTGATGCTGTGCGCATGCGTAAGCCTCCTGTACCTGAGTGGAGAATATTGGTCTTTAGTACAAAATATATTTCTCGCACTTATTTGTTGCTTTCTGCTGTTCGTAGTGTCTTTATTGATTTATTCGTTTTGTTACAACTGACTGTTTCATAACTTACATTGTTTTAAAGTATTACCATTAAAGTTTATGTTAAACCAGAATAAGCTCGAAGTTTTTCGGGTCTGATAGTAGTGCAACACGTGACTTCCTATTCCGCATACGTCACAGGGATTTATCTTTCGAGTACAGTTCATGTTGGAACAAAACCCAACCTTTCGAGATAACCATTTCCGCTTTCGGTCTGATTTTAGTTTTGATACAATCAGTACTGTTAAAAATCGTTGAGGAACCCGAGAATTGATCAAAACTTGAGTAGCAGTAACTGTAGGCCTTTATCTAATGATGTAGGTGTGTGAGTAGGTATAAACACATGAAATGATGAATTCATTACATGTACCTGTCAGGCTTCACATAAGTCACCTTATTATTTCCTAGTTACTGCTCAAGTGATATTTATATAAACGATAATTGATATCTTATGGTGCATTATATTAAATGATTTATGAATTTTTTAAATCGGTATTTTGATGTCTCGAAATTTGGCAATGGCATGTTTACTTCTGTTTATGCACTGCCGTCGGAAGTTAACGTAGCAAGGGCCAGCGGTGGCCAAAGAATGTAGCTTGTCAAGTCTTCATATGACCTATCGGACGGAGATGAGTGATGTCCAAGCAGCTTTGTGTACTGGGTCAAAATGTTGTCGTAGTTAAAGAGAACATGCAACTGGCTGCATGTGACTATCAGACAGCGCTGTTTGGAGGCGGAGACATTGATCTTCATATATCTACAAGACTGCATGAAGCGTTTCTTAACTCCTGTTAATTGGTATTGTGGGTTCGTATCCGTCTCTGGGGGTTTTGATGTCGTTCACCGCCATCTAAGGAAATGTAAGGATTTATTGTCATGGAGGCCCAAACAGTGAAAGGAGGACACTGTGCAGAGCAGAATTTTGTTGACGGCTTTTTAACAACGCTTTTTTAAACAAAAAGCTTTTACCTCGTGTGTTTTGTAGGTCTAAAGAAAAAGTGGTCCATGAATTACGCATTACGACAGAAGATGGCGAATGCAGTTATAACATCTTTGTCATACATCAGAATTAATTTTATACAAATCGACAGCATCAACTGAATATGCTACTTAATAAGAAACGCTCCATCTGTGAGCATTCT